GAGAAGCTGCAGAGTAGGTGGCAAAGAACTACGTATTTTTGGTGGCTTCAAAAACTAGGATCAGAAATGACTTGTATATATTGTAGCTACTCAAATTTCAGTTAAATATAAGGAAAAATGTCCTGATAGTAAGATCAATACAGCAGTGGAATAATCTCTGTATGGCAGTTGTGGGTTCTCCATTTCTTTTTAAGCAGTAGTTGGGCAGCCTTTTCTTGATGATGGTTTTTTTTTTGCACGTTGCAGAAAGCTGAGGATCTTCATAGTCTTTTTCAACTTCACAATTCTAGAATTCTATGAATCCCTTAATTGAATTATTATACAAACAAAGGACACTTTGAAAGTCTTGCTGGACACAATTTGTTGCCCTAGATGAGATCAAGTTTCATCTTAAAGCACTAAGTCCAGGGGTGTCAGAACTCACATCATCATGGCGGTGTCACGTGACATATTGGGACTTTCCCCCCACTTTGCTAAACTGGGTGAGGGCGGGGCCAGCACGTGACGCATCCGGCCCGAGGGCTGTGAGTTTAACACCCCTGCACTAAATCAAAAAGGAGATTTTTAGTTTGGAATTAGAAGGTTGCCCAATTGGCTTAGTATGTGATGCAAATCCAGCCAATTGTGATTTATTCTTTTGACTATGGATTAGCATATCCACATGGATTAACAATTAGCACAGTACACAACCTCTGAGAATATCAGTTGGTGTGCATTCTGTCTTGGAATCATTCTTGCATTGGAAAAAGACTTTTATCAGACTTCAGAGTATTAATTGCTTGGCTTTATTTTCTTTCTTAAAAGCTGGTTTGATCCTTGAAAGGAATCTGACAGAAATACTCAAGTTTCTCATTGTATTGTATACTATTGACTCTTACTAAGAATTACGGGCTGGTTCGGTCTGGGTTGTGCAATTCCATCCAAGACCAAAGATATCTCCAAATGTAGAGGGCCCCTCTATCCATAGCCACTCGATCTTACCAGGGTGCAGCTTTGTCCCCTATCCCAGACCCCTACGACCTCCAAGCACTACAAAAGAACAGCCACAGCATCACGCGCATAATGCACATGGAGTAACAAGCTCTGAACTGCATGTGAATATAAATGAGGTGATGTGTAATTTGCCCACTAGACAATTGAATATCTGGCCTATTAACAATTTTTTGGCTTTTAAACTTATTTCCCTGTGCAAAGACTCCTGTCCTTTCCAAAAGTTCTGAGGATAATTGACGAGAATAATAAAGATAGAATTCTTTTTTGTGGTAATGGAAGGCATCTATTGATTTTATTCTTTCATTCTTTTTGGGACTACTGTGCAGGTAATCCTCTACTGGTTGTTTAACAGTGGTTGAGAGTTTCAACAGCTTCAGATGGGGTGCTTTGTGGCTCATCGTAAAGCATTTCACAAAACTCGCTGTGGGGTTTTCAGGTGTTTGGCAATCCTCACATTTATGACTGGTTGAAGTATTCTGTAGTCACATGACCGTAATGTATTTTGCTGGTTCCTGGTATCTTTTTGCCGGTTTTTGGCAAAGCCCCCCATTTACTCAGGAGAACGGGTTGCACTTATGATTGTGTGATTCATTTAATGATCACTGTAAATATGGTCATAAAATCAGGTCTGGTCATGTGAGTGCCTTGACTTGCAACCTTCATGACTTACCTACTGAAATTCTGGTCCTATTTGGAATCATAAGTCAAGGACTACCTACATTCAGAAAGTATTATAAGATTTCCCCAAGCTATTGCCCTCCAGATGTACATAATTTCAGTGCCTGTAATTCAGAACTGGAGTACTTTTCTGGCTTCTTTATTGAATAGACCTAGGTAGATTTTAATTTTTTTAAAAAAAGTTGCTCTACAGCTGGGAGGTCTTTAATCGGGAAGATCATGTAAATATTAGGCCAACATTTTGTTTCAGTTGTTTTGTTAGTCTCCAGTCAGATGCAAGTTGACATCGGCTGTATTCTAAGTACAGTTTGTTTAGCAATGATTTATTTCAGAGAGGTTCACACTGAGTTCCAAATGCTGTATGCTGCCCTTTAAAGTCTTAAATTTTTAATTTCTAATGTGGGCAGAAGAGACTGATTAAGATGGGAATATAATCACATTGAATATATTTAAATTTAAATATTAATAGAATAAAATAAGAATTAGTCTTTATATATATATATTTGTGGGAGGAAAGGGGCAGCCTTTTGCATGTCAATTAAATATCTCAAGTATGCCTGTTAGCCCAGAAAATCTGGCCACTCTTGGTCTTGTGTTACATAAATCATTGGCTGGCTTCATATAACATGTTAAGTTGTAGTATCTAAATTACAGCGTCTCAGTTAAAAATCATATTAAACCCAAGCCAGATAGAACACACTGTGGCTTAGTGAGATGATTAAGACAGTCATTCCAGCAACTTAAAGAAGGTTCACGGTGAAACTATCTTTTCTTGCTTTTACTGATGGGGTTCCAAAGACAGCTTGAAGCTAAATCCTTGTGAGCCAGAACTATCTTGCAATTCCCATCCTTGATCTTGTCATGTCTCATTTATTTATACTTGCAGAGTTCTCTGCCTCTGGAGATACCCTGGAGCAATTCTATAAAATGAGTAGGAGCACATATCAACCAATGTGCTGTAGTGGTTAAGAATTTGGTCTGAAGCCAGGGGGAATGAGGTTCAAGACCACCTTCAGTTATGGAAAAACATTCGGATGACTTTCAGCCAGCTATTATCAGCCCATGAGCTTCATAAATAGGGATGACTTATGAGTAGATTTTACCTTCAATGAGACAACCAGTTGGCGACAGAAAAGAGTTACATTTCTCTGGCTCTCTTTCCTGCTATTTGGGGGGTGAGTCAGATCTTGTAGACCAATCATAGGCTGATTCTGGAGAAAACTGTACATCACTTGCACCCCTGGACAAAAGGCAGGTTACAGAACTAATGAAGAAATAACACTAAGTCAGAATGCACTGCATTAAGCCATAATACAGCTTGTTTGGTCTGAGCTTAGTGAGATGTGAAGCCAATCATTGTGATTTGTTAATAAACCATATTCAGAAATTCAGAAACATTGTGTTTCAATCTTCTGGGAAAGACCTGTAATTCCCTTTCTTCTTCAGTAACTCTTCATGACTTTTTTTTGTTCTGATACTGAAAGTTGTTATGACTTTCCAGAACTAGATGCTTTCATTCTTAGAATCCAGTTTCTTGGAGTTGCTGAGATAGAGAGTTCTTATTTCTCTTGCTGTCCAACCTTTGATGGACAGGAGAACTAGCTGGTCCATTTCCCTGATAACAGAAGAATGTGCTGGTGTTTAGTGCTTGTTTTGTTTTTCAGACTGCCTTCCTCTTTCCTAGGGTCTTTTTGGCACAGCTATCTTCAAACACAGGAGAGTCAAAAAAATCCTGCTATGAGAAACTGCTAAATAACAGTTCATTAGGACATTCAGTGTAGTACTTTCAATTAGATTTCATAAAACTAAATGTTTTAATCAGATTACATATCACTGTGATAATTCAGGCACTAATACTCTCCTGTTAATTTCTGCAGTCACTACCATATTTTTATTCCAATATCATATTTTAGACATTTTTGCATTTTGCCATTTTCCTTTCGCAGCCATGTGCTTATACTTGTGCTGCCTGGTTAGTAACCATTAAAGATATAACAGGGCATCAGATTGATTGATTAAAGATAGATTTGGG